ACAAAGGGTCACATCCTTTGGCTGGGATTCGGTTACGGCAATGCCTAGATCTCATGGCTTAGCCACGAACTCGCCTACCTTGTCGCCATTGAAATTGCGATGTTATTAGAATTTGAATGACTCCTAAGTTCGTTACACCCACGTTTTTGCGCTGCAGTCATTTTGGAAATGACTTTGGCTCAAGATGGCGAAAACCATAGTCGCGAGTAGACGAAACTTTACATCCACGATGAGATTGGGGTCCTGTGACCTGGAGAATATTGGGGGAAGGTGATCGGGGAAAAGTTTGATCCTGCTGGATGTGACGATTTCCCGTTGGTCGGGCTTGTGGCGAAGGTTACCTTGTAGAGCCTGGTGACCACCCAGGACTTTCCGCGATACTCTACGACTTATCGATTGTGCTCGAGCGAAGCTGGGACCCAGGTCTAGAACCGATAGCGCATTTTCGGGAAAGTGGTGTCGTCAATGACTGTAACTCTAGGATGAGACGTTAGACTCGGATTCGACACTGATATCAGTTTGAGGGTGATCTACACTATGAGGGATGGAAACCTGGCATTGTGAATTACGACAACCTTCTAGTTCTACCAGTCTTCTGCACCTATTCCGAAGTCTAAGTTTGGCGTTTGAATAGATACAATCGCATATAGTTCTTAACTTACCCGCGATTTTCCTTCAATGGCAACTTGGCAAATATCGTTGACAACACATTTCTTTGATCAAACATTTGTTCAACAGCGAACAACAGAAATACTTTATTTTTTTCTGCTTCTCACGTAGTCCTTAGTATGCGTAGCTTCAGTTCCTTGTTTACCTGCTATGAACAGGGAGGCCGCTACCTCGTACAATTTGCAATTTTTTTCTTCTTGATGAAGTTCGGGATTTTTCGATGTTGGAAACAGTGTTGTAGAAAGTGTGTCTGCTTAACCTTTTGGCGACAGCACGGCTCAACGGTTAGCCGCGCTTTGGTCACGTGGGAAAACGCAGTTCAGCGTTAAGCCGCACCCCTCTCAATGGCCCTTTCTTGATTATTTGTTTTTCTTGGAGTTTTTCGTAGTTAGTGGGTTGCCAATCACCAAATGACACTATATCAAAGTGGGCCGAGAATTATTGTTAATTTCTGACAACTACTAATGAATTCAACCCTTTCCCTGAAAATCACTTTCCATGCATTTATCGAAAACAATCAATGTAAAAATGACTTTCTCATCTACTGCCTTTAGCATTGACTAGTCTTATACGTGCGTTTCAAAAGTATGTGCACAGCATTTTGTTTTTTGGGAATACCATTGCTTTCTGTAACCTGTGACATTCACCATTCAATTCCTTGTGTGCGATAACCTACAAACACTTTCTCAGAGTGAACATCGTAACTGCTAATACAATTTTTTATTAAAGAAAAAATTCTCCTTTTGTTTCAAAAGTATGTGCACACTTCACACACAAAAAACAAAATGATAACCGAGAACAGACAAACCAATAGGGCCTCTTGAATTCCTGTGAAGGCTATCGACTATGAGGAGTCGTTTGAGAACGTTTTCGTTACGTTAGGTTCTTTAGTTACCTTCGAAATGAAAAATTTCGAGTGTACACGTACTTTTGGAACGGCAACTGGGCCGCTCCTTTCCACACATTGCTAGATTCATTCGAGACCCTAGCAGCAATCGCTCACAATCTATTCCTGGCCGCCCACGTCTTTTGACTGCTCAGGACAACAGGAGAATAGCCCGTCTTGTGGCGAATACTCCTTCGTCTGTGAGTCAGATCCGAGCTCAGATGGGTTTATCAGTCTCGCGTACGACCGTTTGGCGCTCTATCCGGTCTAATGAGTATATCGCACGAGAGACGATAAAGAAGGCTTCTCGATTCAATAATTGACACAAGCTGACAAGGCTAGAGTTTGCTCGCCCAGACCATCGAAGAGCCTCCTTCGAAATTCCTTCTCGAAAACACGAGTGGCTCCCGGCGAAGGTACCTCCAGTGATGACGAAATCCATCCGGCCCATGGATATTAAACTTCTTTTCATAAGAAAAGATCACCTAAGAACAAAATGGGTACAACACGTTGTTTGTTCTAAAAATAGGAAAATCATGAAAGTTCTCGAACAACCGTACCTTAATCCATGATGTTGCCATGTTCCTACGAGCAAATTCCAGCCTTGTCAGCTTGTGGCGAGTATTGTGTCGAGTAGCCTCCTTTATCGTCTCTCGTGTCATATATTCATTAAAGCGGATAGAGCGCCAAACGGTCGTAGGCGAGACTGATGAACCCATATGAGCTCGGATCTGACTCACAGACCAAGAAGTATTCGCCAAGACGGGCTATTCTCCTGTTGTCCTGAGCAGTCAAAATATGTGAACGGCCAGGAATAGGTTGTGAGCGATAGCTGCCAGGGTCTCGAATGTACAGAAGTACTGTAGCAACATCTCCGGAGCGGGCGTTGTTTTCGCCACTGTAGTTGGGGGGCCATTCGATAATTCAAGGCTCCGTTATAGATTGTTTTCAAACGAGGAGAAAGGTGGTTAGTCTATAGAAGAAAACCTTGAACGGTGTCCAACTGTTATCATATGCAAACCACAAATGTCCATATGGCTGTTGGTCTGTTTGTCTGTTGATCTATTTATCACTACCTTGTATGGTGCCTTGCTAATATGGAAGTGGAACAGATTTGCCAGGATGAAAGAAAGTGAATGAATCGAGTTACTCAAGAACTCATGATCTTATCTAGGCTCCACGCACGGAGGGCGTGACGTGCTAAGAGATAAGAGTGGTTTTAACGGAATTACGCAGTTCCTATTCTCCTGTACCTAAAGCGTTCAAGTTTGGTAGGAGTACAGGGGAGAAAGGGAACTCTGAGAGTGTGTGGCAGGACCAGAGTCTACCCTATCAGGGTGGGGATGCACGAAAACTGTAACTTCAAGATAGCGCGTTCAAATTTGGAAGGGATGCAGGCGACAGGATTAGAACAATGATGGTAGGTGACAGGGCTAGACACCGCTTACTGGAGGTGAGGCGTGCGAAAAATTGTTCTCCAAAGCCAGAGGAGCGTTCGAATTCAGAAGATGTAGAGAAAGGCAGCAAGGCTGGACTACGGAGGGCGTGGAATCTGGAGCCGGCGATCCTTCACAGCTTTGCTCGTGGGGGAATCACGTGTGACGAGACCTACGTAAAGCTATAATGGTCGATATATGTACCGATTTGGTACACCTATCCATTGTGTAATTGAACGATAAGTGGCCACTTTGTTCCCTTTAGTGGTACAGTATCCCAACTCTAAGGAAGATGAAGACATGGAGGGAATATAGCTGTAGCCGCAGCGATCGATAGGGGCAACAGATTTTGACCAGTTTCGATTTGTACTACACGATATGTGGCTGCTACTCACTACTCATTTTTTCAAAGAGAAAAGGTAAGGAACAACGATAGGTCTATGTGTGTCAGGGTTTGCGTTGATGTGTGTATTACATGGAAACTCATAACTCCTGCTCCCATGGACCTATGGCGATGAAGTTCGGTAGCAGTACAGGTGGCACGATGGAAACACTGTGGGTAGGTGGTACGACTAGACTCCACCTACAGAGAGGGCCGTGCGCATAAGTGATGAACTTGGGCCTGGGTGCGAAAATTCTTAACTTGGACGAGGGGCTTCCAAGATTAATAGGGGTACAGGCGACATACGGGAATGCTGATGGCAGGGGAGACAACTGTAGATGAAAGACGAGTGGAATGAAACATGTTACTTCAATATACATGAATTGATCAGGAATCCGCTCACAACAGGCAAGGCGCCTACGAAGTCAGTGTGTACGTGTTTGGCCGAAAATTTGTAATTCCTTTTCTTCTGTGCCGGAGCGTCCGAACTTGGAGGGGACCTGGGCGGCAGGCCAACTTCACACGAAAAGGAGGAGAGCCCAGCATTAGCCGAGCGATCCGACTGGTTCTAGTTATTTCGTATACTGTAGATCATGCAAACATTGGTGTTATCATCCGAGAAGGGAGGTGAGGCAAAAAACAGAAATTCAGGAAAAAAAACGTATCAAAACTCGAAAAAGAACGATGGTTGACAACTGTATCGGATGCCCGAAAAAATGACTACCAAAAGGAGGGGATATAGCAATGAGGGACGTTACTCTACATAGTGAACCTAGGTTATTACATATATTCATCCAGGTCTGCTAAATAATCAGTGAAACTTTGGGTGCATGCCAGGGTTCCTTCCGTGGAAAGAAACCTCGTTCAAAGAAGGACGACGACCAGCCTATCTGTCAACCTTCATCAGAATCTATGACCTTCATGACTGTAAGTGGGCAAGAACGCTGCGGCATCCTTCGTGGTCATTCTGTGCTGATTTGTGTCTTATGATAGAGAAATCACTTATGCTCGAGGTGATACCAGTAGACAGCTCTATTTTGGAGCGATTTCTTAACCAATTTCCTCACAAACTCAGATAAGATCTGCTTCCTTGATTATCTCCGGCACTCTTAACTAATTCGTTTTGGTTGCCACGTTGTTCTTGAGATTTAGGCCGCTCACACGAAAAAAAAGCGCAGCATTTTCTAGAGTACAGTCAATAAAAGTTCCCAAAAAGTTGAGCTGATTACGCACTGAGATCGCACAACTTAGACGTCATTTGAAGAAAAATGATGCAGCATGGAGCTGTGGTGGACCAGCGAGAAATGTGCAAGGTGATCAACCCTCCCGTTCAATGTTCCTTTTTTCTCCAACATGATGTTGTAATTGAGCTCCTTTTTTTAGCGAACCAATTTTACAGTTCCGCACCCGACTTTCATTCTAATCGTAATATGTAGCACATTGGCTAATATTATAGAATGACATGGAGTAACCAGATGATGTACAAGTTAGTGCTTATATCCTCCCAGGGAGCCCTTTTCTGTCTGGTCGACCCTAGAGGGATGGAAGGTTTGAGGCAGAGATAGTCGAGTGGTGAGAGCGAAGATCTATTTCTGCACTCAGAAGCACCACGCGTTCAACCCTTGTCAAGACAAGAACCACGTCCTGCAAAAAAAAATGATGTCGATACAAGCGTCAGGTCCAGGTTGGCATTTTTGATTGAGAAACACAGTCACAACATAGATGTCTGAAGTCGCGTCGTAAGGTCCGTTTAATTAATCCGAAAACGAGTACTCTAAATTTCTCGTGAACTGTGCCATTAAAAGAATGCTTTTTCATGCAATTGCCTTTTTGAACCTAGCCCTTGTGCAGACGAATTTGAAAGACTTCAAGATAGTTCAGAATGACCGGATTAAATGGTAAGCTCAAGCGATTTCTCGAGTAGCAGCAAGGCTAACTCCCGCTCTGAAACAGAACAACAGTTCAAACCTTTCCAAGTGAGACCAAATTTGTTCCATTCGATTATAATCTATTCGAAATCTTGTTAGATTACAATGATCGATCAAATCTTCCACGTAATACTCTTTGTAGTCGTCGCGAAGTAGGTAGGAAGGAAAATATCCAAAGCGTTGGCTAGAGAACGACGTAGTTAGTATTAAATAGGCATAAAGTGTAAACTATCCTACCTATCGCACATCATTCTCCCTGCTCTTGTACAACGCCAACTTTTCCTTAAAGCATTTGTCTTTGTCTTCCAAAAAGGTGAGATCCCCTGAAAACATAGTTCCCTCTTATATGGAAGAATGGAATGTGCTCGAAATTCACAGTTCTGGCCATACCAGCATATGTTGGTTCATATCGCTTCCTTCTGGGCAATTAATGATACCGTCACAATGGTCGCCAAAATCGAGCTTCCTATTTGGAGTCAATTTGCTTGGTGGTAGTGCAAGCATAAATCGTAGACTACGAAACCTTCTATCGGTTGACAGTGTTTCGAAGTCACAACTCTCTGAGTACTGATTTAGGTGCTAAAGCATGAACCATGAAAATATAAAATGCTCACCAATTCCACACCGATCTCGACGATAATCCCCTAAGTCGCAAAGACTATGCAAGAGCTTGAAAGTTCTTAGAACGTTTTCTTCAATAGCCATCTGATCATCCAAACGCTGGCTTATATGTTGTACTCTGATCGATAGCTCTCTGCAACTGATCGAGCATTACTGTGGGCACATAGTGCACCAGATCACAAAGAAGAACACTACGTAGAGCTTTTAAATTACGTGTTAGCTTGGATGAAAAGTCAAGTGTAGTGCTCCTCCTGGCTTCATCAATGAACCATTAAAATTGCTTACAACTAATAATACGTCAACCACAAATCTCGAATTGCATGCCCTTCATCAGTCGAGGTTAGGAAGATATCCAGTAGATGGTGTCCCCATGCAGCATAACGCAAGCTGATGATGATAACTGATTACAGTAGATGGCGACGATGCGAGGAGATACAAAAGGGAAATGGAGAAAGCGGAGAGGGAGGACAATCGGGTGTGGTGCGATTCACACGCCAATATAATGAGGTCATCGGGCAAAACGCGCTAAGCATCATGCCTACCATCATTACGTAAGAACTTCATAGGAACTTGTAAGTAGAATAAGTAAAGAAATGACCAACTATGCACGTTTACAGAAGGATTGTGTTTACTAGGATCAAAAGATTTGAAGGTATTCTTATTTTAAACGTTTCATAAGTAAATTGTTGACCTATGAGGTGAATTTTCAATTTCGAAGGGGCTTTTTTGCCATAGTAAAGAGATTTGCTCTATTCACGATGAAGCCGTGGACCACTGCAAATTTATTTGGTCTAGCTCAACAGAAAGGTTCTGGAACGATGCTGCGTGCGCGAAGAGCTCTAATGGGGTCACGCGTGAATCGCGCGCCCCCCCAGGACAATCGCCAGGGCTCCCCGATGGAGCCGATGACGAGGACTATGTCTGCGGCCTCGTCCGAAGAGGCTCAGCACACCTGGTTTCCAGTGCCTTCTATAATGGTTGCCAATTATTGTGCGCAAAATTCGATGAATGGTAATCCTATGATGAAAGCGCTGAATGGTGCATTAGCTGGTCACCACAAGTCATTGTATAGGTTACATACGCATTCACTACGCCATTATGATTCTGAATGGCGGACTCTTTGCATTTGGAAGTTTTGATATACAACTATGTATAAAGCACTCGCGTCTGTATGTCTACTTGTTTGTACCGGAATACGATATTATATGAAGAAGCACCTGCAGAAGTTGGGTCAAGTTTGGGATGAGTTGGGCATAGGACAAGACCAACAGAGCACATGTGAGCCCAGCGGAGCTCCGTCGATAGGGGGCGTGGCATGCGCGACAGTGGGCGGTGTCTTGAGCAAAATGCCTAAAACAGGTTTCAAAACAGCCCAGACGCCGCGAAAAAATGGGCAAAGGTGAGGGATGGGTCAACAAGTGAAACGAAGGAGAACAACTGGCGATGGGCGGGGCGTTCTCGCAGTGGGCGGTACTTACCACAGAGGATCATAGCTCGATTCAACGGAAGTGTGGAGGCAAGAAAAAACGAAGTGTGCAAGGCCTCAAGCGCTTCGGGCATACGTAAACATGTTGAGATATTGTCAAATCCCAAGGCGGCTAAGTCCAAAAATTCATAACTCCGTTCAAAGACGTCCCAGAACGCGTGAAACGAGTGGCCTGAGGCTATAGGTCTATGATCAAAGCTCTAGAGTGGGGGAGGGTTGTACCAAAGTGGGCAGGGTTAAGATCAGAAGTTCAAAACTCTGTTCAAAAACGCACTAGAACGTGGAAAAAGTGGTTGGAGGTAATAAGTGAAATGTGGCCAAATCGTGGAGTGGGGGAAGCGTGCACTAAGGAGGGCGGGGCTAAAAACAAAAAGCCATAATTCTGTTCGCAAATGTTTTCGAACGCAGGAAAAATGTAGTTGGAGGGAAGGGAAGAAATGTGTTCAAATACCTGACTTGACTCGATTTTGCACAAGGTTGGGTAGGGCTAAGATCGGAAATTCATAACTATGACTGAAAACGTTCTAATCCTGGAGAAAATGCTCAGGAGGAGCTAAAGAGGGTCGCCCGAACTTTTATAGTGGGGTCCGCACTGAGGTGGACGTTGAATGTTCAATCACTAATAATTTTGCACAAAAGAAATATATCGAGCGGGACGCTCTCAAAGCGATCCAGCATTAAAATCCAGAGAGAACTATCTTATTCTGATAATTCAACATCGCGCTGAAAGATTTCATCGTAGAAGAGCTGTCATAGACATATAATGCACGCATTAGCAAGCATAGCCCAACCGATGACTAATCACCGTTGGAGTGACCAAGAAGATGATGGAGATGGATGCATACACCATCTGCAAAATGTCCATGAAGTTCCTACTGCATATAAACCACAAGGCTTCTTGGTTGTAAAGGAGCAATTTACCTGTATTGTTGAGGTCATTTTCAGAATGCAGAAAAAAAAGTGAGCAGCCGTAAGCAAAGTTTGAGACCAGAATCATCCATGTGGGTGATGTAAGTCTTAAAGGCACCGTTAGCAATAAATTTAGGGTACCCTTTTTTGACGGGAATTGATAGAGCTACTCTAGAATAAAGCGATAACAACGAAAAAAAGCGCAAAAAACGATGAACAAAAAGAATTGCAAAGGGTCAAAAAAGAGCTGGAAAAGGGGGTTGGACGAGTTTCACTTTGAAATAACGGCGGATAGGGAGTGTTCCGGCAAATTGGCAAATGCCAGAGACGGCAGATTGGCAAATTGCCAGAGACGCAATGTGTTGTCTGCAATAGCAGACAACACATTGCGTCTCTGGCATTTTGCCAACTAGCTTACCGACTTTTCACCAACTTCGCTCCAATGCGAACGTGGTGAAGGACAATTTGAACTGGTAGTTAGCCTAGCGGGGGGCGGAGGCCTCCCGTCCCCCACTGTTCTTGCCCTTATTGTGCCCTATCCAGCCGTTTTCCGACCTCATTCCTGCACAAATGGTATCAGAGGGGGCTTCGAATTCAAACCATGTGCAAATCTCCGAAACCACTTTTTCGTGAACAGTGCCTTTAAAGTGGACAGAGCCCAGATCGGAAATTTATGTTCTTACTCGAAAACATAGAAACTAGTGAAGAGGTGAGCGGAGGAGGAGTGGTCAGTTATAGAGGCTTATCCTGACGTTGCAAGCACTAATCAGAAGTTCCACTGATTGTTTGACTGAAGATTTTTATCACAATTTTTATCAAGTCCTCTTTAAAATGTTACGAATGTGATGGCCCTGCGAAGTCCAAAGAGAATAAGGTTGTGCCTCATAAGAAACCATCGAATCTTCCCATTTACAAGCTATACGAAGGGAACACTTTCACACCCCTGTAGAATCATATGGGTCCTACATACAATAAGTTTATCATTTAGAGTGATACCCTCCGATACACGGATGGACTAATAGATTCATTGAAAAAGGATTCTAAATTTTCTTTTTAACTGTTGCGTTCGGAACTATGGACTAGGAACCGCTCAGGTAGATATCGTCTACCGAAGGGGAGACAACCTGTCGCCCTCCTACATGCTTCTGTCACTACCGTCACATGTCGGCTTGTGTGACCCCGAATCTCTAGTCAACGTTTTCCACTGCTCGGAGGAAATTGGCGTAGGATCTTCATCATTAATCTTCGTTATTATTAAAATTTTGGCAGACTTTGAAAAAATTATGGAAGCGTCACTACCTCTCGAGCCAATCTTCACTTGGCATTTGCGAACCTTTTATCACGGGACCGACACACGCCTCCCCCCAAAACCCTTTCAAGTGTTGGAAACAAGTGCAAATCGGAAGGGTAAACATTAAGAGGCCTACTGTTACTGTTTTGCGTTGCAGTGAAGTTCACTCTACACACAGAATGTCTAAAGGAATGGATATCTCGTGACGTTTCCTGCACAAAATCGTGAAACATCATCTGCACAGCAAGGCCTTTATACGATCAGAAACGGATTTCCTAGTTGGCATGCTGAAGAGAAGAGAAAGACTGGCTCACAACAGTTGCTCCGCCATTTTCGAAGAAATCATCATGCGGAAATCCTTTTCGCCGACGAAAAGATATTAGAGAGGATTAGAGATTAGGGTTTATATGAAGCTGAAAGAAACGGAAGTGATACAGCACTAGGGTCACTCACTTTCTGTGATGGTCTTCCCAAGCATCACCGCCGAGGAAAAAACACCGATTATTTTTGTAAATCTAGGAGCCAAAGTTAATGTGGGTACCTGTTTGATCTCACCGCGTGCAACTAGACACCCGGAGATTCAAAGCGGACATATTGTCGAGGTGGAGCTCTCAACGGCAGATAAAAAAACTGCCTAGGAATTACGTAAATGGGGTCCCCGACATCATAACCTTCGATCAGTGGCCACTTAGGAGCCTGACTTAAATCCCGTGGATGTCTCAGTGTGGTCAACCTGGAAAATAAAGCGTGCGTTAGCCCAAACAAGAACTGAAATAATCTCGGTAATGCCTTGCACCAAGCCGAGATTAACTCGTTAATACTAGCTAGCCATCTTCTACGCCTTTTATCGTCGTCTCCGGAGTTGAGTGAAAGCAGATAGCAACAGATCTCAGTTTCAATGTACGGTTTAATAAGAGATAGGCATAAACACTTTTGTTGAAATCGTTATCATATGTATGTGTGCACATGACTAGTACTTCAACAGTACGTCCGCATGTGCATACGGCTGAGAGTGCACTGCCTCAGCTCACTCTGATAAGGAATGACCACAACCACGGTCGTGAAGACTCAGCACTACCTTGCCAAGGCAGTGTTGAGATCCCAGAGCAAGAAAAAGAACAGTTTCAGTACCCCGCACACTGGGTCCAGCCGTCTCCGGCGTTGCAGGATATGACAATCGGTGAGACGAAGAACCCTCAACCTGTGCAAGACGCCTTGGATTTTTTTTACCTTGACAGCATTCCCTCTGTACGACACGGAGACTGTTTCCTACACGAACGCGAGAACAGTTCCTCCCAATTCCGCTCCTCAAGGCGGCTATGTATATTAAGAATCATGTGACCGCGCTGCAAGAAACCAGGAGCAAATGGTCAGACCTACGATGAATGAGTGACGGAATGTTCACCATCCGTGGTGGAAAGTTCCACTGCGAAACGTCAGCGGCGTT